TTGATTGCATGAGAATCAGCGTGTCGAGACGGTTTGAATGAGTATAATCATGACTAGGTTTTGAAAAATTTTGATTTTTGGGTCCCACCACGAAAAATGGAAAACTACCGTATCTCGGCTAGTTTTGGTCGAATTTCTATGCAAGAGGTACCATTAGAATCAGTGCGTCAAGACGGTTTGAATGACTATAATCATGACTAAGTTTAGAAAAATTTTCATTTTTGGGTCTCGACACGACATCGGTAGATCAAAAATCGAAAATCTTGCAAATCCTGACATGATTATACTCATTCGAACCGCCTTGGTTTACTGATTCTCGTGGCATCAAAATGATTGAATTTGGAGCGAAATTGAACGAGAATTCTCACCTGAATCATTTTCTTCGCGTGCTTCAACTTTATATTATCCTCTATGGTATCTGCATAAATTCTCGTTATCTTCGACTCCACCAATTGATCCAAGTCTATTGGGATTCCAAATAATCGAAGTTCTTCCAGATTTGGAAATTTCTGAATTATAAAAACTCGCTGTTTCCCTAAATTCTAGAAAATTTACCTTCAAATTCAGTACTCCCCGTTTTGAAAAACGTTGATTTGGTTGGAAAAGCGTCAATTTCTTGGGTTGGAGACGTTCGGCAAGTTTTAGGTACTCAACTTCATCTGATACTCCAAGATCTTGGATTTTGTAGGGGTAAATGTCGAAGAGATGAGCCAAGCCGGGCTGAAAATGGGAATTCGAGTGATCTGGGAGTAAGGGTAAGAATAGAAAAAAAAACAAAAAAAAAATTTACCTTAGCGGAATTGAACCCGCGCTTCGAGATTGGTGAGCAAAACTGTTAGCCACTGCGCCACGACAATTGACGCGACTGGCGAACAGCGCTGCGCCGTCTCTTCTATCGCAGTGTGCGTGGTGGTGCAGTGGCTAACCATTTTGCCTATCAATCTCGGGTCGCGGGTTCGATTCCACATGGGTCAAATGTTTTTTGCTTTTTTTTATAAATCATATTCAGAGTACTAGATTTCTCCCGAAACTCACCACTCCCAAATGAATCTTCCGGAACTGAAACTTTTCCAAAATCCATTTCAGCTTCCTCTCCAAATATTCCCTAGATGAAACCATCACTGACTGTGTCCTCTCTCTTCTCATTTCCCCATCATAATGTGTATGTACAACTGTCCGAACACCACTCTCCACTTTCAATGTCCATTCCACAACGAAATCCTCGTCCATTTCGACGCGAATCGTGTAGAACTCCAAAAGAAAAGAACTCTCAATTTGTTTATCTCGACCTACTCCAACTGATATTTGTCCTTTAATTGAGAGGCACCTTCCCTCTTTTAGAAGGGCAGAGTAATGGCCACGGAAGCGGGAGTTGAGTTGAGAAAGAGAGCGGAGAGATGTCCATTTGAGAAATGGGATTAGGTGTTGGAGGACCACATCGGGCAGGGTTCCCAGGGAGGATGAAGATGGGGAGGTCTGAAAATTTTGAGTTTGAAGGAAAGTAAAAGGCGTACAACATGAAAACTAGCGTAATTCGGTCAGTTTTGCTCCAAACTCAATAATTTATGTAATATTAGAATCAGCGCGTCAAAGCGGTTCGAATGAGTATAATCATGACGGGGTTCGGGAAAATTTTGATTTTTGACCTACCCATGCTTTTTTCGTGTCAAGACCCAAAAATAAAAAATTTCAAAACCTAGTCATGATTGTACTCATTCGAACCGTCTTGACGCGCTGATTCTAATGGTACCTCTTTCATTGAAATCCGATGAAAACTAGCCGAAATACGGTAGTTTTCATATTTTCGTGGTGGGACCAAAAATGCTCATTTTTCAAAACCTAGTCATGATTATACACATCTGAATCGTCTTGAAATGATGATTTTAATAGTACCATTTTCATTGAAATCCGATGAAAACTAGTCGAAATTTGGTAGTCTTCCAGTTTTCGTGGTGGGACCCAAAAATCCAAATAGTCATGATTATACTCATTCAAACCGTCTTGACGAGCTGGTTCTCATGCTTTCAAAATTATTTTTTTGACCTTAAATTCATTGAAATACGGTAATACTCAAAGTCAAAAATAGGACCATTCGGGCGTCAGGTATATGCGCCTTTAAGGTAAAGAAACTTCTAAAAAAATGAGCTCACCTCCACAATCTCTTCCTCCTCCATCATTTTTCCATTCGGGAGTGAAAGTGTTGTTATCGATGTCATGATAATTATTCTGAGAATATGTTATATGTATAATTGAATTCACCCGGTGAGGCAGCTGTCATCAATGAATTGACGAGAGAGAAAAGACGTCTGATGATGCTAATAAGCTGCCCCTGCAATAACCTGAAAACAGAAAAAAAAATAATGAGAATGGGGGTCAAATTAGAGAGTGTAGGGGATAGGAGAGACGCTGAGAAACCAGACCGAGAAAATTTTTTTTCTGAATTTTCCAAATTAAAGAGTTTGCAGCGCTTCAGACAAAGTAAAACAATTATTTCAGCTTTAGGAAAAAAGTAAAAAAATATTTGACCCCAATGGGGATCGAACCTTCGTTGAAAATTTCGAAGACAAAGGCGCTATCCGCTAGACCAAGGGTCCGTTAAACGCCCTCTACCTGTCGACCGCCTGTGGTTCTCATGGCCTAGTGGATAGCGGGCCCGTTTTGAAATTTTCATCGCGGGTTCAAACCCCACTGGGGTAGAATCTTTTTTTTTCTAGCTTCTAAAACCTAAAATCAATTTTATATAAAAGGAAAATGGAGTTCTTGTGAGGGAGGCAGAAAGAAAACGGATTAAGTACCGCCCGAGAAGGCAAATTAAAGGAGGGGAGGGAATGCTCTTGACAAGGAGAATGAAGAGCAAGAACAACTTGACAACAGGAATAAAAAGGAATGAGAGATAGATAGAGTAGCAGAGAAAAAGGGACCTTTTCGCGCATAAATTTTTGAGACCCCCTTAGAAAAGGAAAGAGATGCATACTAAGGGGTGTGCAAACTTGGGGAAAATTGGGGAAAACTGAGAAGCTGAATGAGTAATGAAGTGCCCAGTTTCAGGAAATCTAAATTGTCGTAAGATATGCTGCCGAGTCTGCAAACACCTCTCTAGAGCTCACAAGAACGGCAACTTTTTTTTTCTAAACAAAAAAACTGATAAGAGATCAGCGGTTAAGAATCATGGAGCATTTATAATGTTACTAATAAACATTGTAAAATCATCGTAACATCAAAAAATTGTTGATAAGAAAAAAATCAAGAGCACAAACAGAATAACAAGAAATGATAAAAAAATACGTGCAAAAACAGGGTTTCGGGCGAAAGCTCATCTATAATCTTGTAACAGGGCCCCAATGTTAGTTCCAAGCGGTATATCTCGGTTGCCTTGATAGTTATCAAAAAGTAGTCAATTAAAGAAATGTTAAGCAAAGCATTTTGAGCATTTTGTTAGTTGACAACTTTTTGATAGCTCCAAAGACAACTGAGATATGCTGCCTTGAAAATGGAGCTGAACTTATCAAAACCGGCCCTTTGAACCAGAAAGAAACATAAGTTTCATGTATAAAAATTTATTAAAATTCACAGTTAGATAAAAATTATGTTACTACACTATTCAAAAGTGCTGCCGACAAAATATTTTGAACATATAATCTATTCATAACTCCTCCCTGTTAGTCATGTTTTTTGTATACAAGAAATGTAGTAGCAGTGACTCAACACTACTGATATAGTTTGTGTTCAACAGTGAGGGAAAATGTGTATTTTTGAAATCTTAAACTATCAAAGTATGACTACTATAAAAATTATGAACTAATGATGAAAATAGGGCTAGGCAAATCTAATGCTATGAACCCGCTCAACTGTATCTAAGCCTAGTTTACGGTGTGAATACCGCTTTTATTCTCATTAATACAGGTGTATAATGCGCATATACGGTCCTAATGTTGTTATACGGTATTTTTTCTAGAGTATTTTTCAAGTTTCAGTACTTCTTACATACAATATCTTTTGAAAAATTTTGAACATATACATTTTTCAGTGGATTTGAACTGACTCAGCTCCAAGAAAATTCTTCGACTTCAAAATTGTATCAGTGTATGAACCACAGTTTTCAAGGTTGATATAGTTTACACAATAAAAGAGTCTTGAGAAAAAAAAATTGACAGGTCATATTTTCCTGTACAGTGGGTCCATAGAAAATTTTTAGACTGTGTGCTCAAAGTCGGCTCAAATTAGCAGAAATCAACTGTAAAAATGCTAGAATTCATTTATTTTTGAGCTGGAAAGTGGTTACATAGAGAAAATGTCAACTACTAAAATATGATACACCCAACGATTTTTAGAGCATAAAAATTTTTTTGACTGTATTGCCCGTGCTCAAAGTGGGCTCAAATCAACTGAAAAATGTTCATTAGAGCACATTTGTAACAAAATTCTCCAGGAAAAAATTGAAAACAAAAGACAAAAGAGAACTACTTGAGAAAAACAAAAAGTGATTTCCTTGAAAACCTCTGCCTCTTTCTCTCGATTTCTCCCGTTTATTTGTTCCTCCTCCCGTGGGGGAGGAGCTCCCGAGGGGAGAAAGAAAGGGAAGCTTATTATTCGGATCATGTAAATATTTGCGAAAGAACACTTTTTTATTTAATGCTAATATCATAATTTTCTTGCCTCTTTGAACAGAAAAAAGTGAGAAAAAAAAAGAAAAATGAGCCTCCGTAAAGGAAAAAAGATAAAGAGAGAGATAGAGAGAAAAAGAGAGAAGGAGCTTGAAAAATTGAAAGGAAAGGCATGAAAAATGAGAGAAAGGGAAACACATGCATCCATGCATCTTGTTTTCTTTTTTCTCCTTTTTTTCTTTTTTTTTCTGAAGTGGAGGCAAAAAAAGGAGGAAAATGAGTTTCCAGACAACAAGTTACACTCGTGACCCTGAAAATTTTCAATTTAGAGGTTTTGTAGCACTTCAGACGAAGTAAAACAATGCTATTAGCTTTAGAAAAAAAGAAAAAAAAGATTTGACCCCAACGGGGTTCGAACCCGCGATGTAAGTTTCTAAAACAGAAGCGCTATCCACTTGACCGCAAGGATCACTGTCGACAGGAAGGCGGAGGGCGCTACAGGGAAAGACGCTGCGAACGCCCTCCACCTGCTTGTCAAAAGTGGGACCTGTGGCCTAGTGGATAGCGCTGCTGTTTTTCAAATTCTCAACGGGGGTTCGAACCCCGTTGGGGTCAAATCTTTTTTTCTTTTTTTCTAATGATGAAATGATTGTTTTACTTTGTCTGAAGTGCTGCAAAACCTCTAAATTGACAAAATCAGAAAGAAAAACTCAAAATTCTTCAGACTTCAGAGACGTAAGAGCGCCGGAGGCGCGGCGACCCAAAATTCAGAAAAAAATTCCAAATTGAGATAAAAAGGGCTAAACCGAGCAAATTACGCCTAGAACCAAAATCTATATGGCCTAAAACTCTGCTAGAATAGCCTAACTTTTACAACCACCCCGGAAAAATTTCCCGGGTGGTCAGTGTTGTGGAAAATTGATAAGAAAACAATTCTCTTGACACATTCTCTCTTTTCTCGAGGAAAAGACATTGAGTAGTTGTCTATCTGTTTGATTATGTGGGTGTGCATATGTCTCCTCCCGTCTCCCGAGAAAGTTTAAAGATACGAAGGGAGCACATGGTCTTCTTGCGGGAAAGAGAGAGAGAGAGAGAGAGAGAGAGAGAGAAATGCCACTGACTACACGGAAAAATCAAAATCGCAAATATCCTGGAGATGAGGGATAGGAAAAGTGAGAAATTGAGAAGATAAAGTGGCAATAATTTGACGAGGGGAAAAAGATTTGCCTTAAAGGCGCAACATAAATTCTGAGGCGGAAATACGTTAGTTTTCCATTTTTTCGTGGTGGGACCCAAAAATCGAAATTTTTCAAAACCTAGTCATGACTATACTCATTTGGACCGTCTGGATGAGCTGATCAAAATGCGCTGTTTTTTCCAGTTCAGCGGCTAATATAAACCGAGACACGGTAAGAAACCTTGAATTGCTCAGAATAAAAAATTTTTTCAAACCTAGTCATGAGTATACTCATCCAAACCGTCTTGATGAGCTGATCAAAACGCTCTAACTTTCATGGCTCTGGGCCCAAAACTAACCGAGATACAGTACTTTTTCATTTTTCCGCAGTGAGACCTTTACAGAAAAAGGTGCATGCGCCTTTAAGGTTCAAAAAATATTTCTAGAAACAAAAGTTCACACTCTTCTCCAAAAAAAAACATGGCAATTATATTCATGTGTTGAGAGGTATTATTTGTTTGTCTTTGTGTCTACCTACCTTCCCGCAGGAAAAATATTTTCCATTTTCACTTTCAAAACCATTTTGGCCGTTGTTCGGGAGAAAGTGTTTTTTGTTTTTTGTTCTCTGCGGGCGAAACAGGTATTGAGAGGGGTCAAAGTTCAGGGAATAAGGTGTAGAAAAGATACTGTAGGGGTACAGTAATCCTGGAAGGTAGAGGGACCTAGGGAACTCGGGATCTGGCACATGGTGCCTTGACTACCCACGGAACTGCCGGGCGGGCAAGTTGCCGTGGTTTTCTCCGGCAACATGCCGTGCAGTCCGATTCAACATGATCCGGTCCGATCAGGTCCGTTCTGGTCAGGTCCGTTCTGGTCTGGTCCGTTCCTGTCCGGTCCGGTCCGGTGCGATCTGGTCCGGCCTGATCTGTTCTTATCCGGTCCGGTCCGATCTGATCCGATAAGGCCTGATCCGTTTCGGCCTTGTCCGGCCTGATCCGTTTCGGCCTTGTCCGGCCCGGTCCGAAATGGCCTGATCCGGTCCGGTCCGGTCCGATCTGGTCTGGTCCGGTCTGGTCAGGTCCGGTCTGGTCAGGTCCGGTTTGGTCTGGGCCGGTCTGGCCCGGTCTGGTCAGGTCCGGCCTGATTCGGTCGGGGGTTTTCCTGTGGTTTCCCGGGGTTTTCAGGGGTTTCTCCGGGATTTCTCTACGGTTTTTGCGGAGTTTTTCAGGGTTTTTTTTTTGGGGTTTTTCCTGCTAAAACTGAAAAGAGCCAAAGAATTCATTGAATCGAAAAAAAAAATAGAACCAAGTAGTACAGAAAAAAAAAGAGAAATGGACTGTCAATTGTCTGTCTCTCTCAAGTATACTTATATACCAACACATAACATAATTCTCTATAAGAGGTGCTAATTCTGAGTGAAAATAAGACGAGAAAAAGGGAGAAAAAAGTGGTTATAAGAATAAGAAAATGTACCGGTCATTGAAAATGTCGATTGTTGTTTTGTGAGGGTGGTGGAGAAAGGGCAAAAATAAGAATACAGGAAAACTAGGGGGAGGAAAAAGAACCGGAAAATTTGAATGAGGCAAAAATGTTTTGAAAAAAAATTGAGAAAAAAAATTCTAGTAGTTACAGGTTTCCAGCTGTCCGTCGACCATCTTGAGAGTGCGGGTACGACGTACTGTAAAAAAATATCTTTGTTTTTTGTCTGCATTTTGACTTGAAGGTGTTTGCAGACTCGAAAGGTTGGTGTTTGCGTACTTTTAAACCTACAGTAACCCAAAAAATGACTCACGTGACTTCCGATTAAACTGCCTGGCTCGTCGTCTTTGGTCCCTCGGATCTGTTTGAAGGGTGGCTGCTTTGACGAGGCCATTGAGGATTTCGTCTTCGGGTTCGTTGTCGACAAGGTCTGAAAATTATCGATACTACTGTAGTTTTTTGTGCCGACTTATTTTGTCTAGGCTGTGGGGCCCAGTTGGTCACGTTTTCTGCTGCGCCTCTAAGGTGCCATTACTAAAACTACCGTAACTCGGTTAGTTTTGAGTTTCGCGCCTTGAAAATGGTACCATTAGAACTTGCGTGTCAAGACGATTCGAATGAGTATTATCAAGACTAGCTTTCGAAAATTTTCGATTTTGGGTCCCGTCACGAAAATTGAAAAAGTACCGTATTTCGGCTAATTTTCATAGGATTCCAATGAGAACGGTACCGTTAAAATCAGCGCGTCAAGACGGTTCGACTGGCTGTAATCATGTCTAGGTTTCGAAAAGTTTTCGTTTTTGGGTCCTACCACGAAAATTGAAAATCTACTGTATTTCGGCTAGTTTTGGTCTGATTCCAATGAAAGTGGTACCATTAGAATCAGCTCGTGAAGACGGTTCGAATGAGTATAAACATGACCATTTTTCGAATATTATTGAATTTGGGTCCGCCACGAAAATAGAAAATCTATTGTATTTCGGCTAATTTCCATCGAATTTCAATGAAATTGGTACCATTAGAATGAGGGCGTTGAGACGGTTCGAATGAGTATAATCATGACTAGGTTTCGAAAATTTTTGATTTTTGGGTCACACTACGAAAATTGAAAAACTACCGTATTTTTACTCGTTTTGGTCGTACTCGATAGAAATTAGTAGCACTAGCTTCAAATTTTAGACCTACAACACCCTTACCTTTAACACTACCACCAAAACTCTTTCCATTAATTCCATTGGTGGCCGCTGGCGCCCGTCTCCTCAGCGTACTATCATCTGCCAATGCCGCCAGCATCTTTGACATTTCATCGTGTCTCTGTTGAGTATTCTGTACCACTGGAGCGTGATTCCCATGATTTCTTCTCCTCAAAGGAGCCGCCGCATCTCCTCCACCCGCTTCAGAACTTCCCTCCAAGGCCCATATCTTTCCACGTGTCTTATTTCTCTCTCGTTTCTCTGCTAATCTCTTCTTCTGCTGTAGAATCTTATCCCGAGTGGTACGGTATTCAAGAGCAAATTCTGTGACCATTTTGAATACGTCGTTAGGGGTTTGATTGGGGATCTCATCCACAGAATATCCAAAATAGAGAAGGAAAGCGTGCCACCGATTTTTGGTAACCGTATAAATCGCCTTAAGTTGATGAATTCTCTGAGCAACATCTGATAGGTAATCATTGATTTTTTGCTTCATATTCGAATTGTCGTTCTTGCTAATCGTCGCCAAACACTCCCAGGAGCTCTTGCAATCCTTCTCCAATCGGATCAAATTATCTAATAACTCCTTATAGTCCACCCTGGCACTTCTGGCGACTGCTCCGAATTCACTGTACAAATCGGTTCCCTCGGAGAAGTGTTCAACCATATACTCAGCCAAATGATAGGTCAAAGTGTGCTTGTAGACTGGATCTTTGACTTCTGATGCTTTGGTTAGGTAATCCAGGTAGAATCCTTTGATATCCGTGCCTGATAACGAGTTTCCAATTGCTAAAAGCATTCCCATTGCAACTTTGAACGTCTTGGACTCTTCCATTTCCTTCATTGCCAATTGCATATCCATCAGGGGCTCCGCAATGTCTTTCTCGGAATTTTTGTAGTCTAGGGTGAAGAGCCAAAGGCGGAGACGCTCCAGAAGACAAGGGATTTGTGAGAGTTTCAGAAGGAATTGCTCAGCATTTCCTAGGGTCATCTCTGGATTCTCTGCGGCTTTGATTTCGATTTCTTCGACTTCTTTCGGGGATGGCATCATGGTTTTGAGGATTTTTTCGATTCCGTCTTTGTTGAGGACGAGGGAGTCGAATTTCTGGAATATCGGTTTTATAGGAAGCTCAAAAGAATAAAAAAATTCGGTTTAAACTTTTGGAACGCATTTTACGCACGCATTCTTATTCCAGAAAAAAAAGTAAAAAAGATTTACCACCAGTCGGAATCAAACTCGGGTATGAAAATTTCAAAACAGGAGCGCTAGCCACTAGGCCACGAGGGCAGCAGCAGAACAAGGGTAAAAGGGCGTTCATAAGATTGGGGCCTTTCTTCACTTGACACGTGGCAGTGTCTACGCTCTCCCCATGTCGTTGAATTAGGTGGCCCATGGCGCAGTGGTTAGCGCCTCTGCTTTTGAAATTTCAGACGCGGGTTCGATTCTGACTGGGGTCAATTCTTTTTTACTTTTCAGGGCAGCTATAACTTTAGGTTTTTGGGTTGAAAAAAAAAAAGTTTTTTTCGCATAAGTTCTGCAAATTTCAGACGCGGGTTCGATTCCGGCAGGGGTCGAATCTTTTTTTTCTTTTTTTCTTTCAATTTTAACAAATATTTTCGGCAAAAACGCACCATAATAGCAGCTGGAATCACATTGATCGGTGGCAACTTGGTGAGACCAATATTGATGGCTTGTGATCGTTTCAACGGGAGAACCGACAGGGTTTGGGTCTTGGTTTCAGCGACTTTCTGAAACTTTTTTTTTATTTTTCAGTTTCCAAAATCGATTACCTTAACCGTCGCCTCCTTCTCCTTTTTAGTCTCAAACAACTGCACAATTTTCTTCGCATCAAAAGTGGGTACCTGTCCATCTACCGTATTCCAGAAGCTACCCTTCTGCTTCAAGGATGGAATGGAGGGTTGCTCGACGGTGGCGGGTTTCCAGTGAAGTTTAAGGACTCCTTTGTTGGCAGCAGGGCTGATGTCACCGCGGTTAAGGCCACCATTCATAAGGAGGCCGCCTGGCGGAGGTGGTGGAGGGATGATTCCGAGAGGGGGTGGTGGTGGGATTCCTCCTTGGCCTTGTACTGAAAATGGGATTTTTTGGGGCAGAAAATTTAATGAAAATGCGCTCTATTGAAGGGAGGGAAACAATTTGGCACCATGCCAAGTTTTCAAAAAAAAAAAACCACTTACATCTAGGTGGCAACGGAATCGCTGACGGCGGAGGTGGAGGCGGTGGCACCCCAGCCCCCACAGGCCCTCCCCTCATTCCACTATCAGCCATCTCCTTCATCTTGGCCATTCGTGCCAATTGCAATGGATCCTGTTGATATTCCACTCCATGGAACTGGGAGAAATCCAAATCATTGATGATAAGTGGTCGCTTCTCCAGATTCTCCGCCGCCTTCTTCCATTGAAGTTCTGCTTCTGATTCCTTCTTCTCAAAAGCGCCCAAATTGGCTGCCGCCGATCGAGCAGCACGTTTTTGGAGCATGTCTGCGAAACTGTTGCCGGAGCCGACGTCGGGTTCGATCTGGAAAATGAAATTTGATTCGAGAAATTTTCGTGGGGGGACCCAAAATTTCAATAACGTGTTTCTATCAAAAATCTAGTCATTTAACACTTTTTGAACCGCCCAACTTCGTCAATTCTAATGGTATAGCTTTCATTGAGTTTGAACCGAAATTGACCGAGATACAGTGTAGATTGGTTTTCGTGGCGGGACCCAAAAATAAAAAATTTTCAGAACCTGGCATGATTATACTCATCTGAAACGCCTTGACGCGCTGATTTTAATGGTATAATTTCCATTGAATTTGGACTAAAATTGACCGAGATAAAGTGTAATCTTGACTTTCGTGGTGGGACCCAAAAATGATAATTTCTTAAAATCTAGTCATGATTATGCTTTTCTGAACCGTCTAAATGTGCTGAGTTAGAATATTTTGTTCTCAGAAAGATTGGAACAAAATTGACAGAGCTACGGTAGTTACCCTCGCAGGACCAAAAATTAAAAAAATTTCAAAACCTAATCATGATTATACTCATTCAAACCGCGAAATTTTGCTGATTCGCATGGCACCATTATCATTGGAATCTGACAAAAACTAACGGAGATAGGGTAGTTTAAAAGCGCACGACAACATTTGACCTACCTTTGCTCTCGGTGGTGGAGCCTTCTCTTCGACCACAGGTTCCGCAGGTGGTATTTCTGAGAAATCCATAGTTTTCGATTCGGTAGGAGAGAAGATTGTCGGAAATAATGGGGGTGGAGCTTTTACCTAAACATTGAAATATTTTTCTCTGCGTCTCCCTATCCCTCATTTTTCTCAATTGAGCGCAGTTTCCTTACCGGTTTGGAGCTATCACTATCGTCTGTCGTCTCTTTGGGAATCTCGTTCTCTTGATTCTCCTGAACCAATTGAATCGGTTCGGGTATTTTCTTGTTCCGGAGGGCCATACATTCATTGGTCGGTGAGGTGGAGGTGGTCTGGAGATAATTATAATTTTTTTTATCCCGAAAAAAAGTGAAAAATGAAAAATGACATACTGGTTGGAAATCATCTTTGACAGGTGGTTGCCATTGTGAGGATAAGACAGGTGAGACGGGGGACGGAACACGGGGGGCTGCGGGGGCGGTGTCCCTGGAAAAAATGATTTTGTGATGGTGGTCCTCGTCGCCCTCGGGGCGCTGAGGCGAAAGGCGCCATCAATACCAACTCTATTGGCGAAGTTGCCATATGGTGTAGTGGCTAAGCGTTTTGGGTTGGAAACTCAAGGCCGGGGTTCGATTCCTCATGGTGCCAAACTTTTTTTTATTTTTTGTTAAAGCCGTTTGATGGCACCGAAGAGCTTCTAGAGGTCACTAGAAGCTAGAGAAAAGAGAGACGAGACGCGCAGACACTCTATTTCTCTGCACCCTCTCATCTCTCTGTGCCTCAATCCCACGGCGGATTGAGCCCCAGACACCAAAACTGCCGGCCAGCAGCAGCACCCACTGCGCCGCTAGCGAAACAAGAGACTAGACGCGCAGACAGTCTGCTTCTCTGCGCACTCCCCCCCCCCTCTTTCCCCCGCTCTTTCTCTTTCTCTCTCTCTCTCTCTCTCTCTCTCTCTCTTTCCCTCTCTCTCCCTCTCTCCCTTCCCAACAACTCACATTTTATTGAACATCGACCTGCTCGCCGTGAATTGCTCATGCTCCAACTGCCGTCGCCTGGCCTCCTCATGCCTTCTCCTCATCGTCGCCTTCTTGTCATCTGCGGCTCCAGATGACGTCGTCGGGGAAACAATATCATTTTTGGCGAATCTAGAAACTTCTTTTTTTTCTCCTGAAGCTCCTTTTATAAAGTCACACCACGACCATGCTACAGTAACCATGCACAAACCTGACTTCCTTCTCCTCTCTCTTTCTCTGCGTCTCCTCCAACTCTCTCTTCTCTTCCTCCTCCTTTTCTCTGCGTCTCCTCTCCTCCGCCTGCTGCCGCATCCTCTCTATCTCCTCCATTCGCTCCGCCTCTTTTCTGCGAGTCTCCTCGGCTTTCAGTTTTTCAGCTTCCCTTCGATTCTGCAGTGCTTTGTTCAGTTTCTCCAGCGCCGTCTCAATATCCTCTGGCATCTCATGTTCGTAGGCTCTTGATCTTCTCTCAAGAGTGCTACTGGCACTTGGGGGCGTGGTCGGCAGGGGAATTGGGGCCGGGGAGGGGTTCTGTTTGAAGCTGTCAGGGCTCCGGGACCCGTCCTCTTCGGAGCCCATTGTGATTGCCGAGTCGTGTGATCCTTGAGAAGATCGACGGGATTGATCTTTGAATGAGTCAGAGGTCCTGAAAGGTTAGGAAAAAAATCACACATTATTGTAATGAAAATCACAAAATCATGCTTTTTTTCAAGAAAAAATTCAAAAAAAAAAAAAATTTTTTTCTGAAAAAAAATTTCCAACGCACCTCATCTTAACCACATCATCATCATTATCCCCTCTCTCGTCCTCTTCTTTCAGCTCTCTTTCGTAGAGACGACACTGCTCCTCGAGCTCCTTGTTATTTGATCTACCCATACTTTTGATGGCATCCTCCATTCCCAAGGTGTCCAATGTGTCAACTGCATCGTAGTAGGTGTCCTGGAAATTATTTTTTTCGTGGTGGGATCCGATTTTGACAAAAGCTTGACATGTTCATAACTTACTAAAGTAACTAAGCGCGCTAATTCTAATGGTATAATTTTCATCAAAATCGGACCAAAACTAGCCGAAATAATGTAGTTTTCAAATGTCGTGGTGAGACCCAAAAATAGAAAAATTTTCAGAAACTAGGCTTGTTTGTACTTCTATGAAGCGTCAAAAAATGCTGATCTCAGAAATCTAGGTTTCATGAAAATTGGAGCAAAATTAGCTTCGATTCGGCAGCTTCTATATTTTCGTGGCGGGACCCAAAAATCAAAATCGATCGAAACCCAATCATGTTTATACTTTTCTGAATCGTCTAAACGCGCTGATTTTGAAAAACTGAGTTTTAGAAAAATCAGAGAAAAACTGACACAGTTACCCCTCTAACTCACCCTATCCGGAATTCCATGTAACGCCTTATTGACAACCGTCATTCCGTAGACAAGAGTCTCCGCATCCGGTGAATCCTTCTCTGTTAACACCTTCATCAATCCTGACCAATCAGCTTGTCCCTTTGATTTATCGACTGTTTGAATGGCAGAAAGCACCAGTAATGCATTATTATCGTTGTATTCAATGAAGACCAGGAGCAGTTTTAGGGCGGTTTTGACTACCAATCGGAACTGGAAAATTTGGGGAATTAGAGGGAAATATGGGAAAAATCGACAGAAAACATGCACAGAGCGAGCACATTCGAACAAAATATCGTGCAGTTTTCGGAAAATCGACTAGAAAAATTTTTACGACATTCTCCGATTTTTCATATTATGACAATCAGTGTAAAAGCAAGTGCTGGCCGAAGTTGACCATCCCGATATCTCACCACGAAAACTACCGTATAATTTTTTGCCACGTAAGATTTATCGAATTTGATCTTTTTTCGATCGATTTTCAGCGATTTTTCAAGTTATTCCTCAGAAAATGTTCTTTTAATATTCGTTGAAAATCGATTAGAACTGATGAAACTCGATAAATAAATGAACATTTTCGAAATTTCTTAAAGTAGCAATTAAGTTTATACGGTAGTTTTCGTGGTGAGATATCGTGGCCGTCAAGTTGTCGGATCTTCGGCCAGCACTTGAAAAAAAATCGTGCAATTTTGGAAGAATGGACTTAAAAGGAAAACCATTGAGGAAATTTGACGACTTTTTTCGTGCAAATAAAACATTTCAAAAAATAATTTTTCTACAGATTTTTTTCTCATGCAACATGAAAAAATCATGTTTTTTCTTTTAAGAGACATTCCCTGAGAGAATTTAGCACTGCCTGTTATCCCGATGGCATTAGGATTTTACAAAAGTGTTCTGAACTTAATGAAACTTTGTACAGTAGGTATATATGACCCCCTGAACACAATGGTGCTTTCCGTTTTAGGCTCCGCCTCTTTTCCAGCAAGCCACGCCCACTTTCAGTCCAAAAACTAACTTTTTTCCCCAAAATGCTATCAATGTCTACTCTTTGGGAATCAATAGAAAACACTTTTAGAAGCATTTTCACAGTTCAAATCAACTTTCTATCTCTGCTCCTTCATGCTGAAAATTTCAGTTTTTTGTAAAATTTTTCACTTTTTCGATTCGCTCAAAAAATTTTTCAACTGAGTCACGCGAGATAATGTGATAATCGTGTTCTACGCATGTTTTTACTCCCCTGGACAAAATATCAAGGCATGTTTCGCGGTGTCCATAGTCAGTTTTTGGCGCTTTTTCATCAAAAATGCACATTTCTAAAAACTGATCTTCGCATTTCTTGTTTCCATGTACAGATTTGGATTTTTTTGAACTAGAAACTTATAACACTGACACTGAGTGATGTTTTCACAACATTTGAGACCATCTGGGATCAAGTTCCGGGCAATATTAGCCGAAAATCTGAAATTCTGAATTTTCAGTCAGGTGTTCTGAGCAACGACCCCTAGTCTGAAATTTTTCAACTAAAAAAGTTGAGATGAGCTCTGATTCGTGTTCTACGTGTTTTGAAACCTGTCTAGGTGAATTATTAGGATAGGTTTAGCTATGTTTACAGGGACTTTCAGGCCATTCCCTGACTCCTCTCAAAAATATAGTGTGCCTAGTGATGGACGCAGTTTGTATATTGACACCGTGAAGGTCTATGTGGTCCTATCTCATCAAAAACATCTTCAATGACGTTTTTGAGCAGTTCTGCAGCAGTTTCAAACCATTTCCCGGTTTTTGCAGAGAAAATTTTTTTTTCATGGAATTTCGGCTAACCATGGTCAGGCTGGCTGATAGCATTTCTAAATAATCACCAAGAAACTTTTGAAACTGCTGCAGAACTGCTCAAAAACGTCATTGAACATGATTTTGATGAAATAAGACCATATCTACCTGCACGGTGTCGATTTACGACCGACGTCCATCACTAGGCACACTATATTTTTGATGTGAGTCAGGGAATGGCCTGAAAGTGCCTGTAAACACCGCTAAACCTATCCTAATAATTCACCTAGACAGGTTTCAGAACACGTAGAACACGAATCAGAGCTCATCTCAACTTTTTTAGTTGAAAAATTTCAGACTAGGGGTCGTTGCTCAGAACCCCTGACTGAAAATTCAGAATTTCAGATTTTCGGCTAATATTGCCCGGAACTTGATCCCAGATGGTCTCAAATGTTGTGAAAACATCACTCAGTGTCAGTGTTATAAATTTCTAGTTCAAAAAAATCCAAATCTGTACATGGAAACAAGAAATGCGAAGATCAGTTTTTAGAAATGTGCATTTTTTGATGAAAAAGCGCCAAAAACTGACTATGGACACCGCGAAACATGCCTTGATATTTTGTCCAGGGGAGTAAAAACATGCGTAGAACACGATTATCACATTATCTCGCGTGACTCAGTTGAAAAATTTTTGGAGCGAATCGAAAAAGTGAAAAATTTTACAAAAAACTGAAATTTTCAGCATGAAGGAGCAGAGATAGAAAGTTGATTTGAACTGTGAAAATGCTTCTAAAAGTGTTTTCTATTGATTCCCGAAGAGTAGACATTGATAGCATTTTGGGGGAAAAAGTTAGTTTTTGGACTGAAAGTGGGCGTGGCTTGCTGGAAAAGAGGCGGAGCCTAAAACGGAAAGCACCATTGTGTTCAGGGGGTCATATATACCTACTGTACAAAGTTTCATTAAGTTCAGAACACTTTTGTAAAATCCTAATGCCATCGCCTTCTCAATACCCTCACAGAACGCCTCTTAAACACATTCTCAAGAAAAAAAAAGCATTCCAAAAAATAAAAAAAAATCCAGAAAAAAAGATACCCATTCAAGACGAAACGGTGACATTTCTTTACGCTCTTCCTCGATGTACAACTGGACAAAACGGACATGATTATGGACAAAACAAATAGGACAAATTGGATTTTGGGTAGAAGGACACTTTTGGGAGCAATTCGACAAAAAGTTTTAAACCGAAATTCTGAATTTTTTGCTTTGCGGATTCTTCGTCAATGCCCTTCTACCGTAACCCTTGAGCACCTTCCTGCTCAAACTCTTACCGGTGAATCCAACAACTCATACAACCACTGAATCGTCCCATTATGCGCAATAATCCCGTTCATTCCATCGACATACAACATCAACTGTCCCAGAGCCCTCAAAATATAATTCTGATGGTTCTGATCGGCAGTTCTTCCCAAA